AATTTTTTACAAATGTTAGTTCTAAGAATTTTTTATTTTGAAGGCATAAACATTTTAATATCGTTTAAACTTTTGTAAAAAGCCAATAAATTTGTAAAATAACATTAGTTTAAGAATTTACTATGCTTTCATAGTTCAACGTCCTGATTCGCCGGTTCATATCACGTGACCCCAAGTGATCTCATCTCACATAAACTATGCTATAAAAATCTAATACTCTCAGTAATTATTAACATTAATTTTCAGTTAAATCTTAATTTGGAATACAAGTTTAAATGCAAGAATTTCTTCAATTCGTACGAATAGCTTATGTAAAGCCGCACTGTTTTATTTCGCTAGTGCATTCTCATTAGAATTGATGAATTTAACCCTTGACTTTGCCTTTTCTATATTTTCACCTTCGGGTGTGTGGTGTGATGACATCTTAATTGACTTAATTACCGCGAGTGGCCTTAGGGCATAAAATTGAACTATCTGGTAAAAATTCTAGGTAATTGTATGCCAGTATTGGAAGAAACAACCAATCTGATAAGAAATTGCTGCAACTTCTTTTGAAAATAAGGTGTGAAAGGTTACCAGTGAGGATATTCCGTTTGGCATCAGTTGTACCATTATTGGCGACTTTATCACATGCCCCGGCAAAACGGAAAAGTACCGTGTCCAGTTTGTAGGAAGGAAATGTGTATGGTCGAACATCGAAGGATGCCAGCACCATGGAGGATATTTTTGTGAATCTATGTGGTGATGCCAGTATGCAGATTCTAGTTCAGATAATTTTAGGAAGTTTTTGGATGCTGTTAAGGAATTTTGTTTGACCGAAGACACATAAATTTCTAAATAAGGTAAATGGATATGTCCTTTGTGTAGTGCTAAGAGTAATTTCTTTCTTTATGTTATTCCATTGTTTGATTTAAAATGTGGTTTGTTTTGGCTGTAATGTAGACTTGGCTGCTGCTTGATGTTTTAAGTGAAAATAGATAGATGTGTACATGGACAAAGACAAGTGAGTGCGCGTTGCCAAGTTTGTGTAAATCTCTGATGTTTGTCATTGTGTACATGCATACTGAGTTGTGCAATTCTTTGACTTGTTAATTTTGGCTTTCTGTAGCAGCAATTTTTCAAGTCAAAGAATTGCACAAGCTCTGTGTCTATGTACAGCCAAAAATCGTGAATTTTCACCAAGGGGCACCCATAAATATATTTTTATTAATATTTCTTGTGTGTTGTGCATAGGTACAATAAAATTTATTTCCTTTTTTATGTTATTTTATTGTTTGATTTAAAATGCAGTTTGTTGACATTATATATATATATATATATATATTTTTTTTGCCTCTAGTGTAGAATTGGGTGCTTCTTTGATTTTTAAGTGAAAATTGATCGATGTGTACATGGACAAAGTCAAGTCAGTATGCAGTGCTGAGTTTGTGCCATTCCCTGTTTTTTTTTTTTTTTTTTAAAGTGAAAATAGATCGATGTATTCATAGACAAAATCGAGTCAGTGTGCAGTGCCGAGTTTGGGCAATTCTCTGATGTTTTGTAAGTGAAAATAGATCGATGTGTACATGAACATGAAGTTTGTGTAATTCTTTGACTTGTTATTTTTAGTTTTGTGTAGCAACCATCTTGAAATTGTATCTTGCTGGCCAATTGCCAAAGAGCACCTTTAAATATATTTTCGCAAAAAAAAAAAAAAAAAAAAAGAGGATAACATTAGTTTAAATTATTTTCTGATATTTTGCATGAAATTTCATTCTTCTTGGCATAGTCATGCAAGTGGCAGGTATTTTATCATTCGGTGAAGCAAATGCAATTTTTAAAAAGTTATTAACATTTTTTATAGGAAGCTATTTTTTACTTGCCATGTAATTTAAGAGATGTCCAATACATTAAGTCATAACAAATGCTAACATTCCTTTCTGTAAATACCTGACAACCTTGTATCCAATGCTGTAAGTGTCTCAAATACGCTTAACCACTTGTGGTACGACTAAACTTCAGGGTTGCTGTGCCGTGCGCTAAAATACAATATGACAATCAGTAAAGAGTCTCATTTACGCCGTTCCGCATCTGCGAGTGCAATTCAGAGTTGTAACATGAGAAATAAATAATCTCGTTGTTAGGAGACGTGTGTACCACTTTATTTTCATTTTAACGATAAATGCCTATCGACGTGGTGTTCATATCACTTGCGGTTTGAGACAAAAGCATCTCGACGTGCGTGGCACGTCTTTTTAGCGCAAGTGGTTAATGTGCACAAATACAAAAGTTTACATTGCCTGCAAAGTGCTATGCCTGTTTGGGTCTCCATATCTAACCTTTTCTCATACCTCTTGTGGAATATGAGAAAGAGAAAAATTTGTGCTATTATGTCGCACATTATTCAGTGAGTAAAAGAGAATATTATTGCTTCAGCTGATGATATCAGTCATACTTGGTTCACCTGCTCAAAGATGCCTCCTAGAATAAAGTGGTGCCTTCAGTGTTTGTTGTGATGCAAAGCACTGGATATCTTTTAAAATATGTTTTACCAAAAATTGATGCTTTATTACAATAAAATGTATAGTAATACAAAGTATTTCTTCCACATTCTTAACGAGCCTTCGTGGTGTAGTGGTCAGCACACTCAACGCGTAATCGACAGGTCCGTGGTTCGATTCCTGGCGAAGGCATTGCTAATTTTTCATCCTGCCTGCTACCAAAAACATCCTAATGTCTCTACAGTAATTAAAAAAAAAAAAATACCCTGAAAATTTAGTGGAATGTGGTAGAATTTTTATTCATTTACTTGTACGATATATTCCATTCAATTTTTTTCTTTCAAACAAGTTAGCCCAATAAAAAATTATTATTATTACAATTGAATATTTTATAAACGAATAAATTTTTCAATCAAGAAAAACATAAAACTTCATATATTTAATGTTTTTTAATTTGTGTAATTAATGTGTCTAATCTAGTTAATAAAGAATGAATATTAATGAACAGTTTAGCTACTTCATTGTGCTTAAAATGTAAGAATTTATTGATTTATAAAAATGTGTAGCTTTATTAAATCATTCATTTAGTTCTGAAATATGATTGTCCTGTTAATTCTCTTGGCGGCAACTCTGTGAAGAGATATTAAACGTTTCATTTTATACTTTGAATTCTTTTGGTTTATTTTTTATGTTTTTCTTGCTTAGAGATTACTTTAAGTTCTTGCTATTCTGAAATTATTGTAAATTTATTAATTGTATTTAAATTATTACTGCTACTAAATTTATAGCAACTTTTAAGTGTGCTGTTTAGTTTTAAAGGCCTTTATTTAAGCTTACTAATTTTTCATTTTTTAAATTTTTAGCATAAGTATTGCCTCCCCCCCCAAAAAAAAGCTAGTTAAATTATGTAAATGAAAGTATTTAAAGTAATATAACAATGTTATATTTGAATAAAGTAGATATATAATATAAATGTGAAATAAGTTTATGTCCTAGTAATTCTAAATTTATGAAATAAAAGTATCTTATAAAAAATTTAAAAAGAATATAGCAGTCATGTAATACATTCATAAGAACACAATTTTTCATAATATACATGAAGATACTGACATTGAAGAACTTGACTCCTTCAATGTATTTTTTACAAAATGAGAATAGGTATGAAGCATACTAAATTAAAAATGAATTGTTTTCTCTCCTCGATAAATCCAAATGCAAGGTGTATTAATATACTAATGTTCCTTTTATTTTCTTAACATGCTTTTCGTTATATTGGTAGAACACTGTGACAGTTTAATATTGTGATTATTTAGGTATACCTTTGCATTATATTGAAGCTTCCAATTTAGTGTATCGGAAATGGGATGAAGGGATTGTTGTCATTAAATTTTTAGCAGTTAATAGAAAAATGTCAAAGTAGAGTAATCCTACAATATATGATTAGCATTCATTTTGGATTAATAACAGATTTTTCTAATATGAAACTTAAGTAAAAATGAATTTTAAAAATATTTATATTCTGTGCTTATGATGTACGATAGATTATGTTGTTTTGACCCTATGGCAGTCAAATTACCATTTAACTACAGAATAACAGTGTATAACCATTTTTATAAGAAAAGCATGTTGGTGTCTTAATTGGCTGACTAATTATTTGCAGTTGTAACTAGATCCAGGCTTGCAGCAGTCTATTTATTACTTTATGCAAAGAGGATTTGAAATAAAGATTCTTTCATGATTTGATGCTCCTAATCCTACATCAGGATTGAAAATTAGATTATTAATTAAATACAAATAATATAAAGTGTATTATTTTATTCAATAAAATAACTAGACTCTTTTTATTTATAGAATATGGTAGTTTTCATTTTGCCTAAAATCGCCAGTAATGGTAAAACTGATGCCAAACGGAATATCCGAATATCCTCGCTGGTAACCTTTTATGCCTCGTTTTCAGAACATTTCGCAGCTATTTCTTATCGTACTGATTGTTTCTCTCAATACTGGCATACAATTACACAGAATTTTTACCAGATAGTTCAGTTTTATGCTCTAAAGCCATTTGCGGTAATTAAATCAATTAGGAAGCACCATTTGACTCTGCTTGAAACTCGCTTGGTATCAGTGCCATTCAAAGTTTGTCCAATACAATTTGTTGTTGTGTAAGTTTCAAAATTCTTAAAGCTCTGTTCAGATGGTAGTATAAATGTCACAGAAGCATATTCATAAAACGCGGGAGTTCCATTCACACGTGCAAGACAAAGTCTCCAATTTAGAGAAGCTAAATTTGTGCATGTGTCTACAGATTTCCTGCTCAATAGGTTTTGCATATTTGCTCTGATTGGTTGACTCTTATACCAAGTTGGCAGAAAGTTGGGATGAAACCAATTTTTATGACGTAGCAAGGTGTGGCTGAACATACATAACATTGTCATTGAAAATGCTTATATTGTAGCTTTTTACTGCTTTATTTAGAAGATATTGTTATATTAAAATTTTGCATCTTATCTTATTTTGCAGCTGAAAGAACTAGGATCATATTCCGTTGAAGACATTTCTTCCACAGTAATATTTTGTAGCTGTTTTCGAAGATCATTTTTGTAGTCCTCTAGGTAACTGATCCACATCTTTATTGTTAATTTCCAAGCCCTTGATTTTGACTAAAGACTCGATGCCATAGATAACAAAATAATCGCAATAATTCCACCAGTGCTTCAATACCATTGCTGAATTCAAGATCCGTAAGTCAAATTAGATTTCCAGACGTCCCCGAGTATTAATTTTGTGTCATAAGTTCCCTCAAAACATCTACAAATAATTTGAATAATTTGTTACTGACTTGGGTGTTCATAACTTGAGACACTGTTCATTATCCAAGACATTTTTTTAATTAAGATAATTTTTTCATGATTAAAGGAGTTTGTAAACCAAGGTTTTATTTTGGATTCTACTTTTTTTCCCCCTCTTTTGGGTTACCTTAAAAAAAAACAATAAACCTCAGGAAGAACTGAGCAAGAAGCATTATGAAAACAGTAGATGCCTGTTCCAAGGAAGAAGTTGGTCTATTCAGTAACTGTGTATAATTGAATTTAGATATATCTATTCTTGTGTACATTTTTCTGTTAAATATATGTAGCCAAAGATAATTGTGTTCATATAAGTATTATACATAATCATTTCATATATTCATTCTGAACAGCTTTGGGTACATGAAATTTATTTTGTTGCGACACAAATAATCTTTATAGTAGAAATTTCAAATGTATACTTTTACTTACCTTTATCATTATTCTTAGATTATGTATACATCCAAAACTTTTCAGAAATTTTTAATAATCATTTAATCTTTCTGGAAGAATTCTTATTTGCATTTTAAAAATGAGACATTTATCATCTGTAGAATAATTTTTTCAATAAAATTTCACCTAAAAAATCATTATGTGCTTCTGCCTGCCCAATTTTACAGAGGGAGGAGGGAGATTAAAAGCATATTTTACAAAACTTATTTTATACCATTCTAATTTATAAATTTCTTTTTCAGTTTAGTTGAAAAAGGAGAAGAAAAATGCACTCATTTAATTGAAGCTCACAAGGAATGTATGAAGAAATTAGGCTTCAATATATGATGAATTACATTTTGTAAACACTGTAAAAGCTTACAGTATAATTAAGAATTACCTCTCAGCAGGAATTTGTAAAACTACTTATGTATATAATTGTAAAATGATTTAGACTGGAAAATAAAATTTCCAGTTTAAAAAAATGATTGTTTTTATATTATTAATTAATAAACATTCAGATGATAATCAACTTTTTAATTCAGAAAGCTCATTTATAATATACACTATTGCAGTAATGATGCATGAAAAGAATTACAAAATGAAAACATTATCACCAGTTATAGTAGTTATTTCAGATATTTGTCTTTGTGTTCAACTAGGAGTTTAGCTGAAGATTTTGCATCACGGAAAAGGGAACAAATTTCATCAATATCTTGCTTCTTGACGGATGTTCTGCCATTTACTTTAGCTAGCAAACTTGCAGGACTTAATAACTGTACTGCATACCTTCAAATAACAAAAAAGAAAAGCATAGAATTTTTAATATGACTGACAAACTAAGACTAATAAAATGGCAAACTGAAAGCAATAATACTTATTCGAAGAATTAAACCTGTGCGGTGATATTAAGTTTATACATAGGTATGCAGGTTGGAATTAATTTTCATTAAATGAAGAGCAATACATAATGTGCAAGATTACGAAGCTTGTTAACTTATTACACGGTCAATATAGCTTTTTGCTGTGGCTGAAAGCTTTGGTGGACAAGAGTACACAAACAATCGCAAAGGGTTGGGAGGAGAAAGAGTTCTATAGTGTTGAAGGAACTCCATAAAATAGTTTAAATGAAAAGCAATTTTTTCATTGCAGAACTTGTCATACATTTACAACATAAATGAGCTGCTATAGAAGCTATCAGAATTTGTTAAATCTTTTGAAAATCTTCAACTGAATAATAAAAATATTAGTACTAATAGAATGAAACGCTGCATACAGTTAATTTTTCAAACTATACTATACAATAAACAACTCTGCATAAAATCTAGTATATTTGAACTTTAATTTTTGGAACATATACTGGAAAATAAGAGAAGGAAATTACCTTAAAGTAGTTTTCATTCCTATTTCTCCTAAAGCTAGAAGTGATTCTTCATCAACTGCTATGCCTTCTACATTTGCACGAATTTTCAGAATCTAAAATTAAATTTATACAAAAGGACATTAACTTTTATTATGAAGCAATTATTATAAAATTGTCTCAATCAATAATTTTTATAATTTAAGCAAAAAATTGAGCAGCTACATAAAATCGATCACAAGGATAAACATTTTGATTTATTTGTAAAATATCAGTATTTACATTATAGCATTTAATCCTAGTTTTACTCTCTCTATATATATATCCAGTGTAAGCTTAACAAAAAAAAGGGGTAAGGTAAAATTACCGAGATCGAAAAGCGGAAAAAATAGAAAATTTATCTTCACCCCACTAGTGTTTTAAATTATGGTAAATTTCTGGAATAAAGATATCAACAGAAATAATTTGTGATTTTATGCAAATATGTAAGCAAATTCACTTGGTAACAGGCATGTATGGACTCTGAAAATTTTCTAAATTGTTTAATAAATAAACATTAACCATTTTTAGATATTAATGAAAAAGAATATAGAATGAAATAAGCTAAAAGGAACTATCCATTTTTTACTTCTTCAGTGAACTATAGAGGATAATGGAATCTAAGAAATAAAATGCAGATGGTTGAATCCGTAATGAACAGTGAAAATTTTGATGTTGCAGAATGCTGAAATGCCAATCCACAATGAATAGGAAACTGGCAGCTCAGGCAGATAAAAATCTCTTATTTTATTTCAGCAAATGTGTTGTGGCCACAAACAACTTGGCACATTACTTGTGCCTATTTTCAAGAGGTTTGCGTTTTTAATAACTTTGCAGTATGAAGGAAGCACCAGTTCAGCTATATCGAAGAGTAGTGAGTGAGTGTGTTATGTTCAGGGTTAAATTCGGACTGAATTAGAGTTTTGGTTTTCAGTGCAATTTGATTGGATGATTATACTGCTATAAAGTTAATGTGCATGAAAAATAAAGAATACGTAAAAGATAAAATTTAAATTAGCAGAGTAAATTAATTTCCCTTCTGTATTCTAAAAACAGTAATCTCTCTTTGTATTGCATCATTTCAAGATTAATTTTGAATGGCTAGTACTAGGCTGCATTTTTAAGCACTCGCAGCAAATCTGTAAATGAATTTATTTTTTTACTTTTTCGTATAGCTGTTAAATTACACTGCATTTATTAAATCATTGAATATGCTGGATTAAATTTCGAAGAATGGATTTTTCGCTTAAAATATTTATAACTTACAACACACTTCTTTTGGAATGATTGACTTGCTGATTATTCTCTACATAATTCTGATGATGTAAATGGAACTAAAACAGCCAATAACTTTACATATATATGTATTTGTGTGTGTGCATGAAAGAAAGTTAAAAATTTATAGGAGTCCTGCATGAGACTTTCCTCACATGTAATAGGAGCCAGTTCCCATCAGGAAGTCTTTCTTTCCCAAGAGTTTTCCCCTCTTTTAGAAATATCTCTAGACCGCTTTGCTATCTTAAAATAAACTTACAATTTCGAAATACTTTAAAGGCGAAAGGTCTTTCAGAGAGAAATGTTTAATTTAAAAAAAGGGGGAGTACTCTTCTGTCATCAAAACCGAATTCAGAAATGCAGGTTTTCGAAATACTTTAAAGGCAAAAGGTCTTTCAGAGAGAAATGTCTAATTGAAAAAAAAAGTGAGTACTCTTCTGTTAACAAAACCGAATTCAGAAATGCAGGTATGTATGCATGTATATATATACTTTCATTAATACATACATTTTTTAATCCAGTCTCGATAACAGAAGAGTACCCCCCCCCAAAAAAAAGGAGAAATCAACTTGGCAAGCATATTTACAAATGTATTCCATTCTATAAATATTGAACAAAAAAAACTTCCTCGTGAAAGTCAGGAAGATAGCATCAAACTAATTTTAAAAAGAAACACATTTAATGAAAAGTTCTCTAGCTTATTTATTGTGGTTACTTTCCTTATTTACTTTTACAGTATAGTTTTTATTCATTATTACTTTATAATAATGACATATCTGTACATTATATGCACTGAACAACCAAAACATTATGAACACTTAAACAGTGATGCATTCCGCGACCTCTAGCCTGCAATTCGCCTTGGCATGGATGCCAGAAGTTCTCAGTAGATTACTGCAGACATGTTATACCAAATATCTAAGCAGCGGTCACACAAAATCGGGATAATTCCGACATGGTGGTATTTGAATTCTGCTCTATGACATCCCAAATGTGCTCTGTCAGGTTAAGATCCAGAGAGTTAGGTAGCCAGGACATTAACTGGAATTCATCCTCATGCTCCTCAAACCACTCCAACACAGTTTGAGACTTGTGACGTGAGGCATTGTCCTGCTAGAAGATTTCATTTCCAATTGGAAAGATAGACACCATGTAAGGATGAAACTGATCCACAATTATTTTCAGATAGTAAGCAGCTTTCACAGTCTGTTCTACCACAACTAAGAGACCCAGAGTCATCCATGAGAATGTACTGCTGTACGGGAGAGCGGGGGGAGTAATTGTTCGCCTGGAAGACGACATACCCTGACACAATCATTGATGCACTCAATGAAAAATCTTAATTGATCCGGCCAGATAACTGTTCTCTACTTATCCATGGCCCAGTCTCAATGTTTCCGGGCCTACTGTACACGTAGTTGACAATGACACTCGGTCAACAAAGGCACACAAGGGTGAGATGTCTGCTACGCAGTCCCATATCCAACAGTGTCCACTAAATTGTGTGTTCTGCACTGTATTGGGCAGTCAGCTGAGCTACTGTTTGGTTCGATTTTGCTGTACCAAGCAGGACAGTCTCCAATGTCCTTTTTCTTTGATGACGCGTGGACATCCAACATCTTGGCATCTACTGCTGGTTTCACTGTCATCTATCCACTTTGCATAAATACTAACAATGGTGGATTGTGAATAACCTACCAATCATGCAGTTTCGGAGATACTTGTTCCAAGACCATTATAAGTTGAACTCTACCAAATTCGCTTAGATTAGCTGCGTTTCCCATCACATGCAAAAGTGCAAGAATAATTCTTTACTTACTCCAGCAGCAGTTAAATCCCACTTAACTATGTGCCCTCCAAGTTATCCAGACAAGTTCACTGAAAAATGTGGGGATGGTTATAATGTTTTGGCTTGTCAGTGTACAGCACATAAAGAAAAATAAAATTCACAAATGCTATTTAATAAAAAGACATAGAATAATGAGAATTTTACTTTTTCCTCAAATAAAAAAAAATTACAATTATCATTAAACTTAGCTTTATTCAGTAGCAAGATTTAAAGGTCTTACATTTAAATCTTGCTACTGAATAAATGAAAGGAAATTTTTCTTTATAATATTGCGAAACCTCTCATAATATCTCCAATGTTTAAGATGATTATTTCCTTAGTGGACCATAATCATTTGGAATTATACATGGTCACCATAGGGGTCATCACCACTAGAGTTGTTTTTTTATTACAAGTTTTAACTGTTATGTAAGAAAGCATAGTTAACTCAGATACAATGTACTGATAGACATTTTGGTTCTTTCAATGAAGAAGTACATACAAAATACAGAAAATTATAGTTGCTAATTTAGCAAAACACACTATCATGTGCAATTTGAAACAATCAAATCATCACATTTTATACAATACTTTGCTCTGGATTTAATACCGCTTAAAGCATGCTGTATAAAATAACGTTAAATTTCTCCTTATATGAGAAAATTTTGTAGAAAGATTCGATTCATTTGCAGCATCCCGGACGTATTATGTGTTCTTCGGTGTATGATTTTATGTCAAGCCTTGTACTAGATAATTTCCAAAAGAAATTTACTACACATTAAACACTGAATTTTCACAAATAAAAGTTACTATCCTATTAAAGAAAAGGGATGGGTTTGCAAAATATTTTGAAGAATTGTACAAAAATGTCAATTTCTATCATTTCATTAAATTCTTGCAAAATTACTTTAACATTAGTCTAAAATTACTGATCTATTATGCACTCATTTTAAACTGTGTTTTCAAAAACAATTGCTCACTTGAATCATTTCAGAACTTGTGTAAGGCAAAGTACGGATAATCATGAGCCGGTCCAGAAGATCAATGGGAATACCATGAGCTGATATAATATCTTCAGCACCTCTAAATAACAGAAGAAAATAGATAAAAAGTTACAAAAAGACAATGAATCACTGTTGTTCACAGCAAAATATGTTAACAACCATTACATACCTGATGCTACATCTACCACGATTTGTAGCAAATATGACAATAGGAGCTATTGATGATTCAAGTGCTCTATGTAGGTAAGTAAAGCATTCTATGTCTAGCATGTGCACTTCATCAATAAACAGAACACCAGGTACAAGTTCTGCTATTCCTTGATCAATATACTTATTGACAACTTTATTGATTTCCTTCCTTAGTTTATCTACAAAGAAAATATTAAGATTCTCACATAACCAGTATCAATACACATTAAAATAAAATGCAAATAATTAATTACTGATGTGGTAAGCATGTGTGTAACAATTCTTTAGTTTTAACAAGCAGCAGCATCATTTTCATAGGCATTCTTTTTTTCTTTTGCATTTCAAGCTATGGCCATAAAACAAGTATGTAGATAGACAGCTGGCTATTGCAAAGCACAAAAACTATAATCAGCTGGCTATTGCAAAGACGAGGCTGCACTGGGGACTTTTAAAGTTACAAATGGGCCTAAGTTAACCCCAAAATGCACAGAAAAGGAATAGGCAATACACATCTGCCGAGTATAGCAGAAAAAATTTAGCTACTAGTGCTCATTTAAGGAATTGTTGATAAAAAGAATCAAGGAATAAACTAATGAATAAAATTTAATCTAACAAATTTATTTCACCTTTGACTCATCAGCCATATAGTGGGTTTTTTTTTTTTTTCCTGATTTTTGATCTCTGAAACTTTTCATTGATATATAGTGCTCTTACCAATCACTTATCTAATTTTTAAAAAAATCTTTTTGAAAATCAACCAAAGAGAAAAACTTAAAAATTGCTGGCAAATGTTTGTCATACAACTATATTCATATGATAAATCTTTTCTTTGAAAACTACTCTTTTGAGTATTTTTGTAAAATGCATAAAATAGAATATATACCTCATTAAAAAAATTGGTAATAAGAGGTAAATATAAAATTATAAATAAAGCCAATCCACTTTAAACAGAAGTTTTAGGCTTAAATAAATGAAACAATAACTATCCAAATTTCATACACCAGTCGGTACTTTTCCGTTTTGCCGGCGCAAGCGATGAAGTCGCCAATAATGGTACAACCGATGCCAAACGGAATATTCTCGCTGGTAACCTTTTACGCCTCATTTTCAAAACAAGTCGCCGCTTTGTCTTATCAGATTGATTGTTTCCTTTCAATACTAGCATATAATTCATAGAATTTTTATCAGATAGTTCAGTTTTATGTCTAAGGCCATTTTCGGTAATTAAAAGTCAATAGGATGCAATCACAGCGCTTTACACGAAGCCGAAAATATAGAAAAGGTAAAGTCAACGGTTAAATTCAGCAATTCTAATGAGAATGCATTAACGAAGTAAAGCACTGCAGTTTTACATAATTTCTGTGTAAGCTATTCGCACGAATTGAAATATTTCTTGCATTTAAACTTGTGTTCCAAATTAAGATTTAACTTGAAATTAATGTAGATAATTACTGAGAGCATTAGATTTTTGTAGAGTAGTTTACGTGCGGATGAGATCGCTTGGGTTCACGTGATATGAACCGGCGAATCAGTATGTTGAACCATGAAAGCATAGTAAATTCTTAAATTAATGTCTTTTTACAAATTTATTGTCTTTATTTATAGGCTTTTTATAAAATTTTAAGCGATATTAAAATGTTTATGCCTTCAAAAAAAGAATTTTTAGAACTAACATTTTTTATGTGTATACCGTATGTTGTCGCCAATAAAGTCTGCTTGGCGAGATTTGCGCTGGCGAAACGGAAAAGTACCCACCAGTCTTAAAACAATGCTCAACATGTAGCAAAATGTGAAAAATTTTAGTTGCATATTTTTCCAGTGTTCTCAGATTAGTTTATATTTGTCTTAGGAAAAGAACGAAAAATTCTGGTCGACACTGGATAGCTTCAATACAGAGTAAAATTATTACTAAAATCAACACTTTAGCCAAGTAACCACTTAGGACCATCCATAAAAGAAACTACAGACTCAAAACTAAAGAAAAACACACCAAAGTAAAACATAAAATTCACAAAGAAACAATCTTGTGTTGGCATAGTAGTCAAGTTTACCAATTTCGTTTAGTTTACCAATTTCGAGGGAAAATAGGTACAGATCCCTCTTCATCAGGAGCAAAGAAATCTGGAATGAAAGAAAAGCCAGTTGTATTTATACCCAACAGGAGTAAAGTAAAGTAAACGAGAAGTTAGTACCATCTGTCAGCAGAAACAGTAATCAAAATTGAACAATAGAATTTTAAAAGTGTTTGGAAGGACTGGATTGGAATTAAGTCATTAACTAAACAAGATAAATCTTTATGAATGTGAAAAGCTTTAAGAAAATCCAATTCATAATGGAAGAAGCTTTCTGGATAATTTTTGCTGACCTGAAGTCAAAATTACTATTAAATTTCGGAACTACTCTGATATGCGCCCTCAAGACGCCAAATTTCTCGCCAAATATTTTTGGTGAGAAACTTCACGCTGCCATATTACTATCTAAATTTTTTGTCTACATTTCGAACTTTTAGTCTAAAATGTCTCCAAAAACGCGGTTTTCGCACATGCAAAAACTACGTTTCGAACACACAATTTAGCTAAAAATCCGAAACAAAAACAAAAAATTTAGATAGCAAAAACGTAAAGTTTCTCACCAAAAATATTTGACAAGAATCCATGTACACAGCAACATGTTTTAACTTAAAAAAAAATCTACGAATGGCACATATAGGCAATGAATGAATCTACAAACTACGCACACCTCGCTTTAATAAATTAACATAACAACAATAAATTTCAAAGAAGACCATGTACACAGCATCCTGTTTAAACTTTAAAAAAAATCTACGAATTGCACAATTTAGGCAAGGAATGAATCTACGATCTACGCACTCCTTGCTTTAATAAAATAACATAACAACAATAAATTTCAAATAATACCATGTACACAGCGTTCTATTTCAACTTTGGAAAACATCTACGAATTGCACAGTCTAGACACTAAGCAACAAAATAAACTAAACTAAATTTCAAACAATTTAAAAAACAACAATAACGACAGAAATTCATACTAAAGAACCAATGAACATAACATTCTACAAAATAAGAACAAGGATAAAATAAAATGCACTTACCATGAATTAACGCGTTTTCGAATAGCAGAAATATCAATTTCATACCGCCTTTAACATGCCGCCACATCTTCACTATTGTATTTACATGACAGCCAGACACACTATCCAGAAAATTTATACTATGGTTCACAAATAAATAAAATTACAAATCCCTACTTCTATCATGCGCTGCCATTAAAAATAATCTCCCAGACCCTCTTTACACACTTCTAAATACCCACTACCCCTCAACAGGATAGCCACAATGATATTTCCTTTTGCCGAACTTCAATTCAACAACTACCATTTTATCTTTCCCTCCCATCTTCTCAGACACAGAGGCGAATCAACGAGCTCCAGCGAAAGTTTTTCAATGTCAACAGGGTTGCCATGGAACACACAATCGCGCCAAAAACCAGCGCAGAACACATATCGCCACATTTGGTGAAATTAGGGCGTATATTAGAGTTGTACCTAAATTTCCAACTATGATTAGCTAAGACTTATTAATTTTGCCTTTTTGGACATAAGTTTTTTTTTTTTTTTTTTTTTTTGTGTGTGTGTGTGTGTGTGTGCAAAACTTTTGGCCAATATATCTCAAACCATGGCTTTCCCTTCATTGCTCTGATGAAGAGGGACCTGTATCTGTTTGTCCTCAATATCAATAGTCTTGACTAAAATCTACACGAGGTTCCTGCATTGTGAATTTCATGTGAAATTACAAAATATTAACATATGCTTATTAAACTACTCTAAACCGCTCTTACTGTGCTATACTGAATTAAACAAACAATAACAGAACTCTAATACACATAAATTAATAATTATAGTACACATGAAAAAACATAGTGGTAATGAGAAAAATATGATAATGTCTGTAGTTTATTACAGATGCAACAATAAATAAACTAGTAATTACTAAAAAGGTCATTTTAGGTTTGGAACTATTATTACATGTTTTTATAATATAAATCAAAATACCTGTAATTTCTGTCTTTTTCGGCTTTATGAGCATGCCCATGATCGACAAAATATCTTGACCACCTTGTGGTTTAGCATTTGCTACATCCAGATCATGAAGCGTGACATCTTGCACAATTTCTTTCTTTTTATGTACATCTCCTTTAGGCAGAGGAACATATTCTTCTGCCTGCAATAGTACAATTCTTTAATATATTTTATTCACAATATACTAGTATAATAGATAAAATACCTCTCTATTTTGAAACAATTTCACTTCAGATGATTATATATTGAAAATAAAGAAGTAATATATAAAGATATTAGTCAAAGTAATTTAAATTTAGAAAAGAAAATAAAAATTAAGAACTGATAAAAATTATGCATAAAATTTTGCTGTGAAAAAATTTTCGTCATTTATGTTGGAATTCAGTTATAATTTTTCAACGTTTATTTCCGATGTGATTCAACATCTGAGTAATCACATACTTTACATAGCTTATATTTAAAATTTTTAGATTTAATTTTCTTTCTTTCTCCCACTTATTTGTACTTTTAATTCTAGTTACCACTTAAAGATATAATATTTTAACACTTCTACACCTATATGTATTACAATAACATTGAATTCATTTTAATATCAATACTTTAAGAATAATTAAGAAGCAAATTGATATGACAATCTTTTCCATTTACCTCTAAATCAAACTCAGTAGCATATGTATCACATCTTCCTTGTCTCTGAAAAAAATACATCATATAAAAATTGTATCACAAAAAAAAAAAAAAAAAAAAAAAAAAATGTTAATTATAACTAAAATTAAAATGTTTATGAATGTACAACTTACCTTAACAGCTCCACTGTTAGCTTCAATATAAATTACATCACCAACAGCAACCTTCTCCTTTTGAATACTTTCAAAAATTGTTGGATCTAGTTTTAATTTCTTGGAACCCTTCGCTGTTTTTAAGCCAACTGCTACATGTGTTGTTGTTTTTCCATAACCTATAATTTGCAAGAAATGTATATTTTATCTATTTCCCATTCAAATTTTTATGCAAAAAGTATTTAATAAACTAATCAGCACATCACCAACCACAATAGCTTCTAGGGTTGTAATTCAGGCAGAAAAGCAAATCTATAGGTGGACTGTGAACAACTGGGTCTTAGTTAGCACATAAATACTATTTGATTTTCCCCACTTGCACGGATTAAATAAGAGATATCTCATAATTTTCAGTTAAATTTATTGATTATTTTACACCAAACACTATTTAAATAAATATACAAAAATTCATGGCTCATAATTTTATACTAAAAACTTTTAATACTTATAACAAAAAAATTCACTTAAAATATATTAAACCCTCATTTTACTTATTTAACCTTAATAACAAGATTAAATTATCTCACTGTGATTACAGTGACCATGACTATAATTTATCATAAATGCTGATCTAGACTGACTTTCTATTTCTTGGAAGTTCCTCATAACAGGCAAAATGCTTTCTATTCTTGTTTTTGACTGTTGTACTCACTCCTTATCCAAAAATCACAAGGATATTTCTCCTAGCTACAAAAAGATTTAAAAATTAATCATTCTGGGATTTAAACCCTGAAGTGAAGTATCAGTGTTCGGTAGTTTTACCCACCCAACACTAACAGGCAATGTTTCCCAAAGACTACTTTTTAAACAAAAACTGAGGTAATGATTTCAAAGAACTTGCCATCATTGACTCTCTGGAACCACATTTTTATCAAAATGCAATTAAGAAAAAATAGTGATTTGTTTTAAAACTCCTAACAGATAACAGTGATTGCAAACTACCCTTTTGTTAACACCATTAACAAGCTCTGAATTTTATGAACAGTTTAACCCTTTGCGACACGCATATTTAAAATATATTTTAATCTTTAAAAAAATGCCTTAGAATCAGTCAGATGGATTTACTTAAGTGCTTGAAAAAATTTCTGCGCTTAATTTTTTTATGGGAGAAGGTGGGATACCGTTTGTCCCACCATGCAACTAGCGCATGTCTTATAGCATATTGGTGTATAGCAGGGAAAAAAATCATATGTGGAATAAATAAACAAAATAAAGCATGCATTCTAAATATTCAATTATAAACACACTAAAATGCATTTTGTACTTATTGCATATATGCATGACTTGTAAAATTCTGCATATGCACATTTTGCATATATATATTTAATATTTTTAAATTTTAGGAACAAAAGAAATATTTTCTTGAATATATTTTTAAGTAAAATTTGATACTCATACATATGATACTAAATAAAATATGAAAATTGGCACTTGATTCAAAAACATTTATATATGATTAAAAATGAAAAAAGTCATTTTTCATAAAACTTTGAAAAAATGTTGTTTCATTCTTTTGTAAGTATGGAGGCACTTCACATGTTTCACACATCCAAAATGTTCGGCGTTCTTCTTTCGATGTGCTGCAATATGCACATTTTCTGCTGCTCCTTCTCTCTGGTGTGTAACTTACATTTTTTAGTCTTTTCTGGTTGTACGAATGGTTTTTTAGTTTTTATTTGAACTGGGGATTTCAGTTCATCTTTTCAGCTCTTTCTTGCCTGCAAATGCCATTAGACCTTCTATAACTGAGAGACTAAAATCTTTCATTGTTTTTACAACATGATCGGGTTCGCGAACAAACTTAAATAGAATAAATGTGTTTACTATACTCGCATGTAAAAAGGAAAAAAATATCCTGTGCCATCATTTCTTGCTTTTGCGGCCTATTTCCATATAATCCTTTCAGTTGATCAAATAAGTCGACATATTCCATATTCTTGTTATATGAAATAATGCTGTTTGGGCACAGTACTTTTTTTGTTGTTGTTGTTGTTATTGTTTTTCCATCTCGTTCTTTTCTATTAATTTCTTTCATTTCAATTGCCTTTTCCAAGCAAGACAGGATGAAACGGATCATTTATCCTTCCATTTTATGCAATAAATGAATCATCGCTAACTGAAAGTCTATATATTCTCTTGACATAAATTTGTCTTTAAATTTTTGGGTATACTTTCAATTCATATTTACAATGCCACATGCATAGATGGCAGCCACCTGCATAAGATGGGTCGGTGTCTTTAAAAAGCGAAAACAAATTATATAATTCCCTTTCTTCTTCAGCAATAACTTCAACCTCAGTTATTCTCTCCTGGATTTCAATTTCACCTCAATAAGAACTGATATCTGAAGCATTTGAGTCGCAATCGGATAAGAATTCAGCAAAAAGATCCAAAGCTTCCTGAGTTGTTAATTTTTTTCTAGACATTTTAGCACATCGAGCAACAACGGGTAAAAGTGCGCATTAATCACGAAAAAAGTAGATGCAAAAAGAAAGAAAAATAATCGTGAGTGCTGCCATCTATTGAGCGGAAACTCAAGTGTGTGGTGGGACAATTTTTAACCCACTTATTCAAGTGCAAAAATAAGGTTAAAATATGAATCCAATTAAGATTTTTTGAAAATAAAATACCTTTGAATCTTAAAAGATCATACATATCATAAATTGTATACCAAATGTTTAAAATATTTGAAAAATGCGAGATGCATGGATCTCACTCTTGTGATCCTGTTTTTGAATATTTTTGCTTATAAACTTAAACCGTGGTATAGTAGTAACATCTACTGAGAAAAATAATAACTAAATAGATTTTTTAAAAATTAGAAAATTTCTAACGGAAATTGCTAACTGAGAAAATAAATATTAATTAGGTGGGACATATATTGACCCACCATGCCGCAAAGGGTTAAGCAATCCCAAGAAGTTAAAACCTACTCTATATTATAGTATAATAATGAAAGCTATAATAGATTGCAAAGTACTGTGTTTAAAAACATTAAATTGTTGGTTTTAACCTTCTATAACTATCTAACATTGGCTATAAAACTGCAAGAAAAATGTAGATACACAAACCTTGAAATTTTTCAAATAGGCTACACAAATTATTTCTGTAAATAAACTAATAAACATACCTCCCATAGGATTTTCACTTTCAACAGGGCTGATTTCTGTAACTTCTCCTTCATAAATTTCTTTTACTTCCTTAATTCTCAAACCTGCCGAATAAATAAATAAAACAAAATTTTTTTTAAAATATTCAGCAATGAATATCTCAGCTGTTTTAGGTACTTTTTCAGTATATTTCTCATTTACTTTTATTCCAAATAAAAATGCATTATAAACTGACATACAGAACACAAATACTCAATAATGAAGAATGTAAATAAACTCCTAAAGATTTCAGATATTAAAAAAGTAAAATTAGTGAGTACTACAATGCTACTGGATACTAATATTCCAGTTATTTTAGCTTTTAAATTAGTTGAATATCAGATAGCCAGGCTTTTACTGTACTTAAATATCAAATAGATAATTTTAAATTGTTTACCTCTGATTTAAACAATTTTAAATTAATTTTGAAATCAATTAATAATTATTTATTACATTCTGGTATTCTAGAAATACATAAGGGATAAAAGTAAAAAAAAAAAAAAAAAAAAGAGGAGCATATATTAACTTTATTTGAAAATTAATTACATGGAAATGTGTACAAGACAATCAGAAAAGGAATGATAATTAAGATACTAAGTAAAAAAAAAAAAAAAAGGAACAGTCCTTTCAAATTCAAATTATTTTATTCTAATCAGAGCTGTAATTTATTATGATCATCTTCTGTTATCCCTATGATAGGTGATACCTAACCGCTGTCCCTGCAATGTGGCACATACACCCTCAGAAAGTTTGCCAAGTGCTGGTTTCAGATGAGAAAATTAATAAAAATTTTCTCAATGTACAACATAAATTAATTCAAATGCACATAAAACTTAAAGGGGGGGGAAGATTAAGTAAAAACATTTTTATAACAAACTAAAAATTTAAAAACATTTCCAAATTTTAACTATGTACAGATGCATAATGAATAAAACATATATACATTATTACTATATGCTTAAGTTATCATGAACTATTCCTATTTTTAGAGACTTAATGGAAAAGTAATTTTTTTTTTTTACCTATGGCACGACGAAAGTTCTCCATTAATACCTCGGTCTTCTTGATTTCCGATGAGTATACTTCACTACCAACCATAGGACAAAATGGTACTTTTGATCCTAATTCTTGAGCAACAGCTAGTGCAATAGCAGTCTAGAATAAAAATTATTAGACAACAGTTTTAGAGACACTTATTATAAATCCATAAATATTCCTATTGGTACTTACATATTAGTGCAATCATCTTGGTGCAGTTTAGCGATTTTTTACAGAAGAAAAAGATGATTCAGTGAATTTTAGAATTGCAACTTGCAATAGATATAGTTACCTAAAGAATTGTTATGTGCATGGTTGCCACTAGTTTGATGATTAAGGTGGTTGCAATAATATGTAAGTACCTTTCTATTTGTCAATAAAAGACCCTATTCTCGCTATTGAATAAAAATTTAACAAATAACAGAAATTGGTTAATTCTTACCTTCCCCGTGCCAGGAGGTCCAGCAATAAGTAGAGCTCGACCTGCCATTTTTTTAGCATTTATTAAATCTACAACAATTCCAGCAGCCTGAAATATGAGGGAAGGTTAAAAACTAAGAAATGCGAAAAAATTTTTAAAAGTTTTTATGGGCAGCCATGAATTTTACTGCTCTGAAACACATTTGATAATTTTCATTATTAACAAAATTAATACTGATGCAAATACATTATAGAATGATGATTTATTATTTAACTGACTAAAATAAATCCCAATTATTTTTCAATTTACACCACCACTGAAATTCCAATATGTTTCCTATTTTAAAGTACACCGTGTTTGAAAAAGAATATACATATTACAAAGTGTTTTTTCGTCCAAACTATCGATCACTGCGCCTCGGCTCGACTATTGGCAAAACAAATACATAGTCTAGTTTATATAATTAGCGTCTAGATGTCAATTGTCTTCTGTTTTGCATGGTAACCGTCACATGTTTATAATGGCTACTCCGCAACAGAAATAATTTTGTGTTCTCGTGTTTGAAAACCTGTGACTTCTTCCTGTGGGGTTTGATTAAAGACAACGTTTATGTAGCACCACTCCCACAGAACCTGGAAGAGGTGAAGAACCGGATTCGTACTGTCATAACATCAGCGACGATGGACTTGCTTGCCCGAGTATAAGAGGAATTTGAGTATCAATGTGATATTGTTCGTGTCACTGATGAAGGACATATTGAACATCTGTAATCTGAACTTGAGAGGTTTATACATATATGTGTAAAGTTTCATATTCGTATATCATACAGTTTAATAAATATATGCATTCGAAATACATATATTGTTTTTGAAACATGCTGCATTACTAAATGCCTTCAAATAAAACTCTGAATTTTTTAGCAAATAAGCTACAAAAATTGTCAGACACGATAACCTATATAGACAATTTATTTATATTTACTGGTAAATCACAAAATTATAAAAAAAAATCTTTAAAATATACTTTAAATTTAATTATCACATTACTGCACATATTTTTCACTACCACATATTTCAAACAGTTTTATTTCCATGTAATACTTTTTAAGTAGAACAAAATATTTGAATATTTTTTATGTGGAAAATACAAAACTAGATGCATGGTACAAAGTCTGAAATCCGGTCCGATACCTAGACCACCAGCCAAAAATTTAGGGTTGCAAAATGTTTAACATTTAGGGAGGTAAAATTTCAGATCTACAGAGAGTTCACTAGGCCACAAAATTTCTAGTGCTTAGTCCTGAGTAATTAATTAATTAGTCCTTAAGTTACATATGGGAATTTATGTATTCAGAAATGGTGAAGCATGTGTGGAAAATATCCATTCAGTATAATAAATAACTAAATTAAATCCGGCTTACTTTGTCAGTGTGTGACAGAAGAAAGACAAAATGTCTTTAGTGACAAAGATCTCGTGATCTTTAGTAATGATCTCATGATATATCACCAATAGTGTGTATACTGGATGCAAGCTAAGATGTATGATGACAGCTGTGAATTTGAAGGTTTTCAAATGCAAAAGAAAAAGAAAAGTTTTCCAATGAATAAAATTTGTGGAGAAGGAGTAATAAATGAAGATGATATAACAGAATATTTTTCATTGCAATGACAATGTCCCATTATCAATCAATTAGCGGACAACAAAATCTGTAGTATGGTAGCCAGAAAATATCGCTACCAATAGTAAAGAAAGTGACTGAGAGATTATCGTAAAGGAAAAAATTTCGAATAACAACTTAGTGGGAATTTTTGAATCTATAATTACAGGAATTGAACAACGGAACTTTGCAATAAAATATATTTAGCTATAGAATTAAAGAGAAAGTTGTAGCCCAAGAAATGAAGCAACTTAAATAACTTACATTAAAGAAATACTTAATAAAAACAAATAAATAATGAGCCTTTTTTTAAATTTTGATTTCCTTACGGTCATAAATGCTTCATTATTTCACATTTTTAATTTTATAACTTCTACATGTCATCTTACTGGATTTGGTACTTTTCCATTATGCACCTGCCATGCTTTTTGACATCAGTAAAATTGTATTGTTGTAACTAAAAACTGTTTACAACTAAAATACTTTCCAAAATACATAGAAGGTGCATAATGGAAAAAATACCCTAGATTTTAAATTGATGATGTAATATCTGGAAAAATTCCACATCCAAAATCGCTGAAGTCCTGACAAGTCAGAATATTGGATTTTGCACAGTACTATACTGATTGAAGATATCGAATAACAACCTGTAATAAATGAACTTGATTTTCTTTTTAATTTTCAGAGAATTCACACTTAGCAAAAATATATTATTTATCCACTACTTAATAAGGAAAAAATTTAATTTTTCTGAATAAATATGTCAAATTTTAAAATATTAAATCAGTGCAATAAAATGAAATCTTTTATTCAAGGAACCTTAAAAAAATAAGTACAGTCAAAAGTTGTTAATCCGGACTCGTCGGAACTTCGGCGATTCCGGATTATCGATCATCAGTTTAAATCTCATAAAATGGCATGCAGAAATTCTAAAATTAAAAATATGAAACCGTAATTTATGAAATAAAGAACAATTATGATCTAAAGAGTATCAAAATTTACAAAAAAAAAAAAAAGCTTAATATTATTTGTTTACTTTATTAAACATTTCTTTCAATGTAAGTTGTTTAAGTTGCTTCGTTTTATGTGATAATACTTTCTCTTTAATTCTATAAACAGACATAATATCTTGTTCAGTTGCAAAGTTCCGCTGTTCAAGTCCCGTAATTGCTGTGCCGAGAATACCGACTAACATGTCAATCGAAATTTTTTTGTTTTCACTAACCTCTCCGTCACCTTCTTCATGTCTTTATCCATTTTTTGCAGCAACTCCACTTTTTGTTTGATGGACATCGAAACATACTTTCCTTTTGTACAATCCTTTGGGAGCTCCAGCATCGGAAGTTCTATTTGACATAATCGAAAGTTCAAGTTTACTTTTAAAGTATTGCTCTTACAGCCTGAAAAAAGTAATAAGCCGGATCCAGTTCGAAGATTAAGGAACAACGCAATCATCAACATTAACTGAAATAGATAATTAGATAATTTTAGCTTATACCGTCCGTTATACATTAAACGCGCACGCAAAAACGTATTCTGCACTTGCGCAGTCGTAAAGGTCTTACGCGCACGTGTAAACGCCTATGCCCATGTGTCAACGCGGCGCATGCGCAGAAAGTTTTTAGCTTTGAGGTCCGGATTATTGATCATTCCGGATTATGGGTGTCCGAATTAATGACTTTTGACTGTATTATTATTTTGCTCATCCAATTTTGATATTTAAAACTTCCTCAAAAACGCAGAAAAAAAGTATGAAAATATAGTAATTATGATAAAAAACATTGCTGTGAATTTTCTAAATATTTTATAGATAATATAATACCACTAGCAGCTTCGCTGCCAGCCTTCGTCTGGCTTTTAAATGTACCGGAAAAATGGCTCAAGGGAACACCAAACGTTAAATTTAAAAACTGCGTAGAATTGTACTCTGCAGAACAACTTTATAAAAAAAAAGTTATACGTATAACAAAATTACAATGAAATAAGGATTATCCTTAATACAAATATTATATCCTAATAAATAAATTAACAATTCCCTTTGCAAATCTTTAGAATCAAAAGGTATAAAGAAGAAGTAAGACTTTGTTTCCAAAAAAAATCACTCAAAAAACTTTTCAATCTCTTAAGAAAGTGAAATGAGCAATAAATAACATAAAAAAATACAAAAAATAAAAATTCTGAAAACAAAGTATAATTAATGATATTTATCTTATATTTTCAAGAGAAAAATTACAATGAAATAAGCTATATCTCTTAATACAATATTAATATCCTAATAAAAATTAACCAACTTGAACCAACCCTTGAAGAAAGGAAAATCACGCAAAACTCTTCAATATCTTACAAACAATGAAATAAGCAAAAAATAACACGAAAGAAACTCAAAAAACAAAAAATTCCGCTCAGAATTTTACTCTGCAGAACAACTTTATCACAAAAAAAATCAATAAAAATGTATTATATAAAAAATGACAATGGAATATGCCAATTTCTTAAAAACAGTAACATAAAAAATACGATGAAAAATTGTTGCCAAACCCATATTTAATAACGATGATCGTGGGTTCAACTCCTTATGTGGAGACTTTTCCCCCCCTTTTTTCTTTTTATATATTTTCCAATAAGGGTGTAAATTATTTTATATATTTAAAAAAATGCCTAAAAAGTAAAATGGTTCGACTTTCAAGGATAATAATACTGAAGACTTGACTAAAAAAAACTTATTTTGACATCCGTTTCATTGTCAGGTGAATTTCGTAAAATATTATTCGACTCATCACGTTTGTGAAAATTGCAACACCAAGAAGGAATCGTCATAATTGAATGCAATTTAATACACAGTTGAGTGGTAGTGGTACAAATAAATGATTAAATGTTCAAAGCAAACAAACAAGAACAAGAGATCAGAATCAGTATTTTGTGTGGCCACCACGCGCCGCAATAAGTGCTGCTACACGACGTGGCATGGAGTCAAACAAAGTTTGAATGTCTGACTGAGGAAGAGCATTCCATATCGTTTGTACGCGTACCCAAAGTTCGTCTGCAGACGCAACAGGACGAGGATCACGAGCAAGACGCCGACCAATGACATCCCACACATGTTCAATTGGCGACATATCCGGGGAACACGCAGGCCAAGGAAGAAGCTGTACCTGCTGCGCTGCAAAGAAGGATTTAACAATCCGAGCAGTATGAGGGCGGGCATTGTCCTGTTGAAATACAGCGCCTGGCAAGCTTTGAAGGAAGGGAACAGCTTCGGGCTGTAGAACTTCACGGATATACCGGTTGCTGTTCAGATTGCCCACAATTCGTAGCAATTGAGATCGTCTATGATATGCTATGGCGCCCCAGACCATAACTCCGGGTGTTCGTCCACTGTGGCGTTCGATAATGCACTCCGGAAGGTGGCGTTCACCGGCATAGCGTCTGACACGAATGCGGCCATCATGGTACCACAAATTAAAGCGGGATTCGTCAGAAAACACGACATGCTGCCAATCAGCACGCCAGTCTCTATGCTGATTGGCCCATTGTAGCCGCAGGCGGCGATGGTCGTGCGTTAGGGGGATCCTGTATAAAGGAGTCCGTGCGCGCAGTCCACACTGCAGCAGACGTCTACGAATTGATGAAGCACACAATGAAACACCTGTAGCTATTGACCACAGTGCTGCCAATTGTCTAGAGGAAGCTGTACGGTCCGTCCGCGCCATGCGGACCAGGTGTCTATCATCGCGAGCTGTCCGACACTCGTCTGTCCACTGCTTCCAAACACGCATCACTGTGCTGCTGTTACGCTGCACACGAGAGGCTACTGCACGATACAACAATCCAGCTTCACGAAGGCCGATGATTCTCCCTCGTTCAAACTCTGTAAGTTGTTCAAATCTCGCTCTCTTTCGTCGACGAGGCATAAGTACAGATTGAGTTAACGTTTACCACTAGCAGATAACCACCGATAACCATACACGCCTCGCTACAGCCGTCTATTTATTCGGATCCATCAGCCGTTCAGAGGGCGCTGCTCAGCATACGCATGCGCTATGGATTTGCAATTCTAATCATTTGCATATCATGCGCTACTTTGCATTTCCTGAAAATTTCAGCTCACTCGCGTAAGTCCTTCATGGTGTTGCAATTTTCATAAACGTGAGTGTAGCATAAGTTATAACGCCGGATTTTTACAACCACATTGTTGTTTCAACATCTCCAACAGAAAAACATACCTGACTGACATTCATAAAGCATTCTCTCTCATCACAAAGTTTAGAAGCAAACCACATGTAACGTAACATGTTACCGAATATTGGCATGGATAATTGATGATGAACAATCGAATGTATTTTTATGCAGTCTTCTCGGGAAGTTATTTCCTGTTTCTTGCTTGATGAGATAAGAGCAATTTTATATTCTTTTAATAAAGTTTTTAACCTGACGAATATATATCGCAGGGTTGCACCAGTGGAGTACACTTAGGGGAATTACTTTGACACCAATCCTTCTTCATCTTGCAAGAGTTTGTCGTATAATTGCGGATTAGTTTGTCCTCCCATGAGTTAATCAGCAGAAAAATTTGTTCTCATATACGTATGGCTTCAACACATCCATTAAAAATTTTGTGTACAATGCGGTTATAAGTTTTCCAGATTTTGAAGAGGTGATGACGATATTCTTGTATTTTGCTGCATATTCATCCACCATTTTTTTAATCCTCGGTCCAGAAGAGCCAGTATTCTCTTGCAAGCATATGTAAATGTTTGGCAATAGCTTTCCAGAAGGGCTCATAGCATATTGTGCTATATATAAGTAGGTCACTTGTTCACATCCTTTCTTTTTTACAAAAACTGTTCCAGGGTTCGGTTATATGTTGACAAGTGCTGGCAACCTGGAAAGATAATATACATATGTAAATTTATTATATGTGCAATTAAACGGAGTATTTCATTTGAGGTAGACAAATAAGAATTCTTGACTTATCTGTTTGATCAGTGTTAATAACAAAATCCTTGTAGTATTAAGGAATGAGAATTTGAGTTTGGAGTCGGAACTTATCTGCCACAGCAAGGATTTCCTCTTGTGTAGCCGTCTCTTTTTCTGATACAAATCTTGTATCCTCAATTGAATCTTATGCCTTTGTTTAAAGTCCATGCCCCACGATTTGGAGGCTTTGAATTCCAACTCTGGAAATTGACTGGCAGCAGACAGTGCCCATTGTTGCAAGTTTCTTGTGGTGATTTGCTGGTTACATCGCGCTTCTACGAAACGATCATGTCCACGAATCAATTGTATTGTATTTATCCTTTCGAGTTATACCATTTTAATATGTTGTTTCTAAATTTTCAAATCTCGCATATGCTTCAAGCGAGATGATCCTTTCGTTTGCAAACTTTTTAAACTCTCCATTGGATGCACTTTGGCAAGATTAACCACCATTATTTTGTGCTTGACAATGATATGGCACCCTTCAACATCTGATCTTCTTCTCGTTCGATTTGTTCATGCCACATCCAACTCTCTGTCGCATATAAACCGATACTCCGATAAAACTTCCACTATTTTCTTGTGTATTTTATTCTTCATTTGAATGGGTTCTTCGGTTACCACTTCAGAACTTTCTGATGAGATTAGATTTTCTTCAGCCAAAAGATGTAAACTATAATCCCTCACCATCTTCAATCGCTGCTTTGACGCTTCACCGTGCATATTATTGTCTGGCTCCTGTTCTTCTTCCGCTGACGTTCCAGGGATATCAATAGTTTCACTTTTTTCTGACATTTACGATATTTCTTCACAATTGTATTTCACAAAAATGTTGATATCTTCCAGAACGTTTCCACAGCCTTCTCGCACAATTCAAGTTACTTGGCCAAGAGCTAGCAAACGAATGAGTTCACTATCAAGCGCCGTCCCTAAAGGTCAGGTGTGTGTGTGTGATTATGGCAAAGCCTCGAGGGCTATCTGCCTAAGGGGAGGGATGCCTTCGTGGAGGACTTTCTAAGGGAAACTGGCTCGTATACACGTTACACATGGGGAAAACCACGAAAACGCCCATGCAGCCAGCCCGTTCACGGGATTCGAACCTCGGACCGAACTACCAGTGTTCAGCGACTTTACCTCTCGGCCGCTGGTGGGCCCCCTAAAGGTCAGGAAAATCTTCTTTCTACCTGTGACAAGAATCTGTGGTTAATCTTTGGATTATGGTAACTTGGTGATTTTTTGGCGACGAACCCTGCTACAGCAACCTGCTAGTTTTTGTTTGTACACCATTTTGTTTTCACGAAGTAAAGGCATTTTTTTTTTCCTCAAAATTTTTTTCCAACAATCTGCTAGCCAAATTACGCTTATGCTAGAACTTTTATGGATTAAAAGTGCTTAATCATGACGAAGATTAGGTGCAAAACTGGGCGAAAGTGCAGAATTGCAAATTGCTTGCCGCGTTTTTAAGAATTGCACATACACGGTATCCATGTATACGTCGACCTATTTTCACTTAAAAAAACATACCAGAATTGCACAAAAATGGCATTGCGCACACTCTTGACTTTATCCATGTACACTGCTAAAGTCCTAGCTAGTAACCTTTATCGCCTTACCAAAATTTCGTCAAACTACCTGTTACCATATTCCAATGATTAGCCGAATCTGTTGTTTGTGTACAACTGCCAGGAATGACTTTCAGGTGAAAACGAATCTTATTGTGAAACAACTATTCACGTTTACAGCAGATTCCCCAAGCAGTAGGAAATAGCCAATAAAGGAGAAAGAAGAATTCCCGTTTGAACATGTCAGGGTAGTTCACAACTTGGCCATCTGAAGTTCTCACTTCAGGTACTTTCATTTCCATCAAAGCCCTACATGTCCTATAAATCTGAGCGAAATTGGTGATGACAAGTAGGGAATGGCCCCTTGCTAATTTTGCCTCCAGTTTTGATGGGAGAGCACTCCAGGAGAACGGACAATGATGGTCTCTCTCCACTCTTTTCCCTACCACCAACCTCTTGAGAAGACTTTCAGCTTGCCATATATTTAGAGTGACTTCATACCGCAAAGGTACACATTAAAAAATATCCATGCCTTCTCCGATATTCGAACCTGGACCCTTTGGCACCATAGTAGGCTCCCATAACCACAATACCATCTGAGCAGCTAGTCGAAAGTAGTGACAAAAGTTAAAATGTGGTCAAAAGTGATAAACAAAAGTGCGCAGTCAATCACTCAAAATTTTTCAAAAAAAATTATTACTTTATTCTAAAACTTATAAAATTAAGCTTCAAAAACTACTTTTATTTTGCATCTCTGGTTGTTAGAAGCAAAATTAGGGTTGTTCTTGTTCTACACTGTGAACCAGTACTTTCTGTTTAAGAACCTAGAAGTTGATGTCTAAGGGTAAACAAACTACTCTAAAATGAGAATTTTTAATTTCAAGTACTTTTGATGATGTTCAAAAGATGATTTTGAACCTTTCTGTTCATTATTAAGCGCTTAGGAACAAGTTAAGTTTCGAATTTAATTTTCATACTTGGTAACATATTCTTTTCCTTCCCCTTAAGTTTGCATTACATTAAACCTATTTTTTTGTTAAAACTTGATTTCTTAGTTGAAAAATAACAAAACTAGGTAACAAAAAATTTTTAAAATATTACTACAGTTAGTTCTGTTGCAAAGGCAAAAAAAAAAAAACAAAAAAAAAAAAAAAAAAAAAAAACTTAAAATATTACAATAGTAACTGTATGAAACTGTCCACAAATATTTTGAATTAAATGGATTTTGCAACTTTGCAAAAGAAACGAGAAATTTCTGGAAAGAATAGCTAAAGTATGTAGTAGGTCTTAGTTTGTCACATAGATTTTAGTCCATTTAATTACTTATACCTTAATAAATACAAATGACAAAATTAAAAGCAAATACTGAGAAATATTTCTGACGGAACATATCTAGTAATAGTGATATTTAACACATTAACTCAAAATGTAAGAAAAATATAAAAAAAATACTTTGATAACATGTTTATCGCCTTTTCCTATGATTTTAAGTAACCAAAGTAGCACCTATTATTTTTCTAAATAACACCAGTAAGAGATTTATTTAGACTATTTTCCAAAATCTGCGTGTCGAACGTAGTCGCATACCTTAATCTCTGCACAAACACTTAGAAAGCAACTGTGATAACTTCCGGCTCTTATATGTAAAATAAATAACGACCGAAATAAAAATAATTGTAAAAACCTGCATTTAATACTATTATAGAGCACATTTAAACATTCCATTTATTAATTCAGTTATCATACCTCACGTGCTGCTGTTTGACCAACAAGACCGGCAGCAACATCAATTGCATTTCCATTGTCATCTAGACCCAATCCTTTGACATGGCTATGAGCAGCAATACGCTGAGCTTTTGTTGTACTCCTAACTTCCTCAATTTTCATTTCAATGGTACTTAATATGGTACTTTGATTTACAACTAAATACTCCGTCTAACCTCCGTATACGAAAGAAATTCTAACTTCAAAAACACAACACAATGTCTGTAGTAGAAGTTGAAGTTTTATGAGACATATTTTTATAGTCAAATTAAAAATTACTAATCGAAGACTAGCGACTGTGAAGTAAAACTGCCACTCTATAGGCAAATTTAAAGTTCCTCTGAATTCAGATTACTGTATATAACTATGAATAAGATATGAAAACACACATTGACTTATTTTATAGCACTACGATATGAAAGCACACATTGCAAGCAAGAAAATACAAGAAAATGTTTATAGATTACTTGCAATCAATGCACATAAAATAAATACTAAAAAGCTATAGAATAAACCATGTTTGAACATCGATGAGTACAGGGAAGCATAACAAAGCAAATGAAAACAAAAAATAAAGCATTAAATAAATATTTACAGGTGTAAGACACTTATTTTTACATATATTATCAATATTTTATATTTTATTCAATTATGTGCTATTTCTAATTTAATACTCTTTGCTTGATAAGTAAACAGCAAACATAATAATATTTTCTGAATAGGTATCCCGATCTGCTGCTAGGAATAATCCCTTAGCAGGGAAAATGTATCACGCTGTCCTCCTAGAAGAAGTACGGATAGCAACCATAACGTGGTCTACCATAATAAGCTGTTTCTCCCCGTTTTGGCGTTAAGGCTGTTCTCCGAACCTCTTATCCGAGATCACTTTTGAAAACGAGTGATTTTTCGTATTCAATTGAAACACCTCACTACCAGACGAACTTGTAGAGGTTTTTAGAGGTTACTTGATGAGAGATGTTGTTTATCACGTGTGTTTGGGTAATACCAGCTACAACTGAACTCTGTAAGTTTTATGTTTTAAAAATAAGCTCTACAAAGAACATATAGTGAATTTGAGTTTCAGAAAGCAGCTCCTCCTTTTACTCTGTATCACGTGAAGAACATCAGTAAAACAAAAAGACGAAAGTAAGAGTCAGGTGGCCGCCATCAGTTGACGAAAAAGGTGAGTATCTGGTTGAAGGTCCAAATCAGTGAACTGAAGAATCTAGTATAAGTAAAAATGTTAAGGATGGAGAATGTCAGATGGATATTTGTGCTTTTCTCTGGGAAATGGACAACATCTAAGAGAGTTGATGCAGTTGTTAGGATGAGTGAGAACTGAACAGAAGAAATTTATGGCAAGTTTTTTAATATAATCTTGAATTTTATCTACTATGAGATCACGGTGGATATAAGAACTTGGAATGAACCATGGCGCGTTGATGATATCTCTCAGTGCTTTGTTTTGAAGAACTTGGATGTGTTGAAGGTGAGTTTTGGCAGCGTGGCCCCAGACAGGACTAGCATAGAGTAATGCTGGTCGAAGTATAGATTTATATAAGAAGAGTTTATTAGAAACAGAGAAGTAGGCGCAAAGTTGTAAGCGTGATATTGATTTTTTTCACAGTTTCCCTGAGATGTTTCTGAAAAGTCATTTTTTTTTATCAAGAATGACTCCTAGTCAATTTCCTAGTCAACTTCATCAAACCCAGTCAATTTTTTCATCAAACAGAAGAGGTCTAGATGGAGTGAAATATGTTTGACCTTTGCGAAAAATTATTGCTTTTGATTTTTCGGTATTAACTGCAATCCTCCAAAGAGTGAGCCAATTTTTTAGATAATTGAGGTAATGTTGAAGAAGGAGCTGGACATCAGTAACAGTAGAAACTTGGGTCATAATTGCAGTATCATCAACGAAAAGAGCAAGGGTAATTTGTGGGTCCTTAGGAATATCATAAATGTAAATGTTATATAAATATGGAGAAAGTACAGATCCTTGGGGCCCCAGCGAGTATGTTTCTCGTGGAAGAAACAGAACTGCCAGTTTTCACTGCAAAGATTCTGTCTTAAAGATAGGAAGCAATAAGTCTAATACAATGATTGAGGAGGTTTAACTTGATAAGTTTGTATATAAGTCTACGGTGCCATACCCTATCAAAAGCTTTCGCAATATCAAGGAAAATGGCTCCGGTAGGGAACTTACAATTGAAACCGTCAGTAATATAGCTGATGACACGAAGCAGCTGGAGATTAGTACTGTGAACATGACGGAAGCCAAACTGTTCGTCTGGAATGTAGGAGCTCTGTGGAATAATTTGATTAAGATCGTAAAGAATAACTTTTTCAACTATTTTAGAAAGTTGACTGAGAAGGCTGATTGGGCGGTAGTTCTGGTAAACGTTAAATTTTGATGCGGTATTGGGAAGACGACGATGATGGCGTATTTCCATATATTAGGAAAGTAAGAGAATTTGATGATAGAGTTGATTATCTTAGTAAGACAAGTGATGTCATTGATAGGAAGATGTTTCAACGCTTTGGTAGAAATACCATCAACACCAGGAGCTTTTCTGGGTTTTAAGGAGCTAATATAATCGGCAACCAGCTTAGGTGTGGCAAGGAATGTAAAGTTCATAGGACCTAGGATTTTTAGGAAGGTATTAACAGCATCATTAACTTTGGAGATATGATTGTTGTCGTAGGGGGTAGTATTGGGAGTAAACGTTTCTTCTAGTATATCTGCAAAGATGTTAGCTTTATCTTCGTCTGAATAAATCATTCCGTTGGTACAGTGAAGTGGCGGAATTTGCTTGAAGGGTTTCTTAAATTTCTTTGCAATGTCAAACAGAGAATTATCTTCAGTTGCGAGAGAGTTCAGGAAGTTTCGCCAGCGTTGCGTCTTGAAGTTGAGTTTTTAGCCTTGGGTCTCTTGTATTTCGTCAATTTTTCCTAATACGATTTTTGCATTTGATTTTTTGTCTTATGCTGGCTGGAAGAGGAAGAAAAAAATGGGAAATGATGAATTTATTGGTTGAAAAATTGATAGCATGTTGAATAAAGGTGGTAAATGTTTTGATTTCAGACTCAATATCGTCTTCATTGGTAATTTTGGGATTTCCAGGAATGGTATCTGAAATGATTTTTGAGAATTTTTTTCCAGTCTGTAACGCCAATACTCTTGCCCAGTGAAGGTAAGTAACTATTTATGCTTTCAAGAAGAATGCGATTATGACCAGATGAGAGAGCTGGAATAACATAAATTTGGCAATTATAGTCGAGGTTGTTAGATAGAAAAAAAGTCAATAATAGAAGAACTATTATAGCCGTAATGCGTAGGTTCATCAGAGTCATGAATGGTATAATTTTTATTTTGAATCATGCCAAAAATTTCTCGTCCTTTTCTATTGCTATCTCCTTGATTCCAGTATTGATGCTTAGCGTTAAAATCTCCTCCAATTAAAGCAGGAGAGTTAAAATCCAGTAGCTTTTCAATTTCAGAATGATTAGACTATTATTAGGAGGTATATAGATATTAGAGATAAGGAATTTTTTGTGCTCAATTTGAATTTCAGTAGTATTACTTTCAAAAGAGGTAGAAAAATTTTGTTTGAGTTGATGCTGGATGCTTCTTTTAACAAAAGTTATAATTCCACCTTCGCGTCCGGTTTCTCGATCCGTACGGTAAATAGAATAATTTGCGTAGAGCACTTTAGCGCAGGTTTCAAATGCGTTTCCTGTATAAGAATTACATCAGGATCCAGTTCCATAAGAAGATTGCCAAATTCATTATTTTTTGGTAAGAAAAAGGCCATTAGCATTCCATGAAAGAATTTTGATGTTTCTCCGATTAATACTGCGTGGCATGTTAAAGGCAATTACTATTTTTGTCAAGAATGTCCACAATTACACTTATTTTGTCTATAGGCGAAGTTTGCTTCTTCATAGTTTTGAGGTCTTCTATAATAACAGTCCATATTGTTTTTAATGAACCCAAATAAAATAATTCTGAAAAAGTGGAGCTTGTGGTTGGAGTTTCAGATAAGTTGGAGTTCTTATTATTTTCAGGCTTCAGAGAATCTATTTCTTCGTTGAGAAGTGGAAAGTTGTTGTCTTGTATATTCCAAGGATTTTTGGTTGGCGGATTGCTGGGTGTAAACTTCTGCTTTGTTTGCGGTCTGGCTGGAAACTTGGAGAAGTTAGCTGGATGTGGACCACCACAATGGCAGCAAATGGCAGGCTTATCTTTGTCAACTGGACAGTTTTTAGGCTCATGATTTCCACCGCAACGCACACAAACCCAGTCACGAGTACATAAAAGTGAGCTGTAGAAGTATTGCAGGCAACGATAAAATTGTGGAGGCCAAACCTCCGTTTTAAGGCATCAGCAATGACATTCATATATCCGATGTGCTTGATGTGATAAATCTTTTCTGATGCTTCAGTCTTAGGAAGGTGAAGTAAGAAAAGCGGCATTGGCTTATTTTCCTTTCTGTTTCTCATGATAGTGATATGATTTATGGTAAAGCCTTGGTTTGTTAGTTCTTGGACAATATAATTGGGGTTCATGGTCACTAGCAGGCATCTGAAGAAGAAATGTATGGGCTTTAAGATGTGTTTCTTCTATGATTTTGCGAATAAAACGGTGAGACTCAGCATCTGGGGATTCAATTTAAAGTCTATTTCCTTTAAAAGTGCCCATTATCTTTCTTCCAGATTGATTACTTAAATTTGCAAGAAATTCGTCAGCTTTAACAATATTATCCACTATTATGGGTGGAACTCCATTCTTTTGGGTTTTATTTTCAGAGTATTCTTTTTGGTAGATTTTGGAATAGTGACGCGTATAGATGGTTGACTAGAAGTGGGTTGGTGGTCTTCAGTATCATCTAAATTCATTGAGTCATTATCGGTTTGGAGAAGTTGAAACTTATTATTAGTTTTAAGATTTGGTTCGTCATTTTCGCTCTCAGAATCTGAAGACTTTATTAGTTGGCGTTTCCATCGTTTACGGAATTCACCTCCAGTTTGATGAGCTTCGCAGTATTGTTTCAAGTCGTTTATTTGTGTCTATAAAAAACCTAGCTCCAACT